TATCTCATCAAAAGACTTCCGGGTTCTTCGGATGCTTCTATCGAATCCTTGGGGAATTTTGAGAGTAACTACTCTGATTTAGCAGTTAATGGAAGAATAGTAGTTCTGTGGAATCCGGTTTTGGCTTTGGTGACTTACCTAAAAACGGATCATGTGGTGTTTTTAACCCACAGACTAATCAGTCTTTTACAGTTGGGTTTGTGTATGGAAGGTCAAAGACAGAGCTTGTGGTACAGATAGCAAACTCTTCTTTGATATCTCAATCACCTTGGCTCATTTTGGATGACTTTAATCAAATTATGGCAAGGATACTCTCTCTACCCTTACATATCCAATGCTGTAGGGATGTTACCTCTAGTAGAATTTTTTATATGGCTATTTTTTTACTTGGTCTAATAGACAGGTGATGGACCCAATTACTCTATGCAATGAAGCTTGGATGGACGATTCTTTTGCAGCTCTGATCATTCTCCTTATTTATCATCCGAGAAAGAAAACACCGTTCAGGTTCAATTTGCAAACATGACAAAGTGGAAATGATTCAACACCAAGTCCAGGTAAAGGTGATGCAAATACTCTATTCTTGTTCAATTCAGTCAAGGCAAATCTCTTCTCTAATGGTATTCATCACCTTTGAATTGATAACAATACCAAGATAACTGACTTGGTCCAGATGGTGGAACAATACTACTTCAATTTGCTTGGTTGTGCAGTGGTTCCCTACTCTGTCTCTCATATCCAATCTTTCACGGGTTCCTACTCCGGAGCAAATCACTGCCGCTTTGCCAAAAAATAAAGCCCCGGGGCCAGATGGATTTACCCTGGAATTCTTTACAACATCTTCATGTGGACTTAACCAAGACCTATAATAGTATTGATTGGAGGTTTCTTCTAAATATTTTGGAAGCTTTTGAGCTCCCATTGGTATTTACTTGCTACATTTTCAATTAACTTTAATGGTGAGTTGGTTGGGTTCTTCTCGCGACAAGGAGATCCCATTTCCTCATCTCTCTTTGACATTGCAATGGACATTCTATCTAAATATCTAGATAAAGCGGTCTTGCAAGATAAATGTCTTGATCCTCTCTTACCTTTGCACATGATATGTTATTGTTTTTTTTTTATGGGAACGCAGATTCGTTAGAAGGAATAATGCAAGTGCTACTGCTTCGGGATTGTCTTCAAAAGTCTTTTCTTTTCCAACATGCAGCTTAAGATATGGCTTTGCTACATGTGTGTTACTTGGGACTGCATGCCTCATAAGCTACGGACTTCAGATTATCAACCTTTATTGGATCGTGTTCGTTCTTAATTACGACATTTGTCATTTGCTTTCTTATGGTCTGGTGCTCCAAACTCTTCAAGAGGGACTAAAGTGTCGTGGGAGTCAGCCTAAAGCAGAAGGTGGTCTTGGGTTAACAAGGCTTTTGACTTGGAACAAGGTCTTTGGGCTCAAGCTATTCACAAAATCTCGTCTATGTCAACGAAACCCTTCTAAATCAAATCGGTGTCTCTTACTTTGAGACGACTATTGTATACAAATATGTATTTGACTTTGATTTTCCAAATATATATGTACACATACGGATAGACATGTATGTGATGGTTGATCTATTATAAATGACCATTGCATTTTTCAGTCTCTATGAGTATTAGATTTTGATGCTACAAAATATTATGATTTTAAGGATTAACCCAACCAATAGTTTGGCTGACAATGGAAATTGTGCTAGAAATAACAAGTATCGGTTCATTTCAACCAATCAAATTATTTTGTTGCTAAAAATATATATGAACTTGATCGTATAAGTGTTATTGCTTCGATTGAAGGCATACGTATTGTCTTACGAGACAATGCTATTCAAATCTAATACTCGTCAAGTAAGACTTTCAATTTTTTTGTTTCTTCTAGATGTTAACAATTGAAAATCAATGTGTGTAATAAGAGAGATTTTAAATCAAGACATCTCCAAGAATATAGCATAAAAAAATTGATAATAATTTGCGAGGAAATTTTTTTCCGTTTTTTTTTTACATGAGTGTTTTATGGTCTCATGCATTTCACAAGAACATCGACGAATCGCTTGTACATATGTTGTTTCATGTACATTTTCTCCACCTTTTTGCGTCCTTCGATCCCGAATTGTATCCTTGCGTCTTGATTTCTTAGCAGAAACAGGAGATTTCGAGCCAACTCTTTGTTACCTGATCGTCCCATTGAGTGAAGTAGACCGGTTACGTTATGTTGAACCATCTCTTTTGTTCCTCCTGCATCTGTTCCCACCACTGCAAGTCCATAAGCCATTGCTTCGATCGTCACTCTCCCAAATGTCTCACCAACCCCCTGTAATAAAAATGTTCAATCAAAACCAAAATTTTTAACCCAGACCGAACAAACCGAAATTCTTAATCCAAAACCAAACCGAAATTTGTCGATAAAGCAAAACCAAACTGAAATCAAAACCAAAATTTTGAACAAAAACAAACCTGAAATCCTTAAATCCAAAACCAAACTGAATTACAAATTGGTCTATTTGGTTTCAGTTACTATAAAATTGAAAACCCGGAAAAACTAAACCAAAACCAAACCGTGAACTGGATTCTCCATCTCTAACATATACTAGCTTCTTTGGAAAACTGCATAAGCATTGAATAATGTTTTTTGAGATCTGAAGAAGTATTATTACCTGGGAGTTTGTGACGTAGACATCTGCTGCAGAGTATAAGGAAGCAACACGAGTCGTTGCGGGAGTCCAAATGACTGACTTGGATAAGTTTCCGTTGTTCGATAAGAAGCTTAACATCTCTTTAACGTATCCAACTTTGTTGCTCTTCGAACCCACTGATCCTAAAAGAACTTTAAGTTCTTGTTTCGGTCTTCTTACGGCATTGCCAACTATGTGAGAAACACTTTTCACCTGTCGAGATGAGCCTCTTAGACGATGTTTGCTAGAGAGACTAACTTTTTCTTTCTTAATGATCCCCTTGAGATGCTTTTGAGCTTCATGTTCACTCTCGGTAAGTGCTAAGGAAACAGATTCAAGGAGAAGAAGTTGTCCTTTTGGTGGGTTTATGCTACTAAGAGACATCACAAGCATATCTGCATCGGTTAAACCTAACTCTGTTCTGACTGATTCGCGTAATGTTTGTCTCTTCTCCCTCATTTTCTCTGGAGAAAGTGTCGGTGTGTTGAGTGAAGAAGGAATCCCAGCTACAAAAGCCAACTCGTCGTTAACAGATAGTGGAACAATCACTGGTTGTGATCTAAGCTTTATATGCTCCTCTTCGGACCATGTTAACCACTGTTTGCTCTGTGATTCAGATAGAAATATCAGCATTTTCACTCGGTCGAGCACTGGTTTGGCTCGATCAAAGTATTCTCTTCGATTCTCCATTATCCACAAAGCTATTTGACTTCCACCAGCTGGATGATGATTCATGTATTGATCTGCGAGGAAAAGGAAGAACAGTGATTAAGATATGCTTTTTCGTTTGATTGTAAATTAGTAGTCCCAAAATCGCGTAATGAGTTTGTTCTTACCTATCCATGATGTACATACAGCTGATCCCGCGATGACCAAATCTGCTTTCATGGCAGTCTTGAAGCTGAGTTCTCCTTTGTCTTCAACAACTTTGATCCGTCTCCTAGCGAGCTCTTGCATCAATCCACCTCTCCTGCTAAGAACTACTGCATTGACTGTCGCACCACAGCTCAATAGCTCTGAAGCCAGATCCATCATTGAAATTGGAGCGCCAGTCATCGAGAGTTCGTGGAAAACCAATACGAATCTCCTCGACCAAACAAGGCGTTTAAAATCTGATTTCCTGTCGCAAGTCCCAGAACGTCTATGCGGACTCCATTCAAGAACTCTATCCTCTAGTGATCCAAAAGGACCAAGAAGCTTACCGTAAGTAGCATTTGTCATTGGAAGTTCTGGATCTTGCTCATCATCCAAAACCTTAGTCACAAACTCTTTAGTCACCTTCTGCTTATTACCACGGATCTTACTACGTGAAGTCCGGATAGTTTTTTTCGTCTTCTGCCTAGAACTCAAGCTGCGTCGAGAAGCCCCATCCTCTTTCTTGATCAGACTAACATCAGTCCTCTTATTCACACCAGAATCATCTTTACCAGTAGTAATATGTACCAAAGCATCAGAAGTCTCATTAGCAACAGAACCCATTCCTTTGTTCTTCTCCTCCACATGTAAAACATCTTTTGGTTCTTTCCTCAGTATGCCTCCAAACCGTAAAAACTCAACTTTGTTTTCATTATCATGTGCCCACCTTGATTGAACATAAAACCCAAGATACGTCCAAAGCGTAATCAAAAGAAGCCAATAAACCAGTCGACTACTACGAAACCACTGAACCGGTCCTCCTCCACCGCCTCTACCCTCTCTACGCGGTGTCCTACCAGAATGCACTCTAGGTGAACCCCTTGGAGTAGATCTCCCTGACAGTGATGACTTAAAGGTTGCTTGTCTCAACGGCGATAACCGAATCTCATCCATGATTTCAAAGGTTTATGATCTCATCACAAAAATCACATCAGCCACAATAGGTCCAGTCCACGAGCTCCAACACCGCAACCTAGTAAAATAAATCATACAATCAGTCTATAACACAATGATGACTATATAGAGACTATAGTCTCCCTACTGATTCAATTTCAATCAAACACTAGTTTCCATAAAAATCTGATACAATACAGATCTAAACTCCTCTCATGACCTGCATTTAGGTATATATCACCATGAATTCAAACTAAATCTGGAGAACAAAGTCCACAAATTCCCAGATTACAAAGGATTTTAGATTCCAGAAGCATAAGAAGTAAGAAATTACTTTCTCCTTAGGTTTCCATAACACAAGGATTAGCTAAATCGACGCGAATTTGCAGCAAATCTATGGATTATGAAACATGAATCAACAACGAAACTTGAAGTCAATGATCTTTATCGGAAAACTAGAAAACAGAGAAATAGTGAAAGAAGACGAAGTTGAAAGAGACGAAGATTACTTGGAATTGAGTA